GAAAGCTGAAGGGGGAAGTTTTAAGACTCAGATAATAGTTTCAAATATTGCAAATGAGGCAAAGAGGGTAGAGCCCTAGAAGGGTCTTTGAATCGGCGAGTGGCACTTTAGTGGGGACCAAGGGTGGAAGCCAGGTGCCATGGGCACAGCAGTCGTGGGTAGAAAGGAAAAGTAGGCAAGCAGCACAGTGGTAAAGAGGATAGAAAAATAGAGAAGCAGCTCAAGAAATTATCCAGTTTATGTTGCCAAATCCCTAAATGGTTTTATCTGGTCCTGCTTTCATAACACATTTATTTCAACCCAGATCTTGCTAATACAAACGAGACATGCTCATGTAGGGCCGCCCCAGGGGTCAGGTCACCTTGCTTTATGCATCACCTTGCAGAGAACCTTCCTGCATTCTCCTGGAAACGGTGTAACCCGTAAGAGCAAAGCCGAGATGAGGAATAATGTAGCCGTGTCTTTCTACAGAGCCAAATGCAAAAGGCTTAATAAAGGCTTGGACTCCAGGTACGAGGGGAAGGGAGTGCGTTAAGGGAGGGATAGGACAGACAGACAGACTGCAAGTTATGATCTGAAAGAAATCACAGAGAACAAGCATTAACACCCAATCTAGGGGCCAAAAACCAAGCATAATCCTGGGGATCACCGACGGAAGAACCAAGATAATGCGGGAAGAGAGTAGCAACTACTGGTAAAGTAGAGACTGAGTCCCTTTTTGTAAACTGGCTAGTAAACAGGGTGCCCAACCGAGATGCTCCCCTTGAAATAGCTCCCCATCCCGTTCCACAGCCGGCCCAGACACAGCTCGTTGTCCTTCCTGACCAGAACAGCCTCCCCCATCTCTCCCAACAGGAGCACAAATTTGCTATAACACTAATTTACAAACTCAGCTTTTATCAGATCATGCCATGCATTTAAAAAGACAGGGGGGAAAAGAAAAACTCTCAATTGCTCCATCATTCCTGTGAAACAGACACCTGCCCCCTGGCCTTCACGCATCTCACATCACCTGTGGTTTCCAGTTGTCACAGTGCTTGTCGTCTCCCACCCTGCACAGCCCTGGCTCTCACCCGGCTGTTTTTCCACAAAGCGTCAGCCTCTGATCGAGTGCTTTCCCATCCCGTCTCCCCTTTCCTCTACAACCATTCAAATCCAACGCACCCTTAAGGCCTTATAGGATAAGCGCATGGATTAATCTCCTTCACCCTCCCTCAGATGTTGCACTCAACGGTGATTCTCCCTGGGAAAGGAGGGAAAAGCTAAATACATCCCAGTCACCTTGGGGACATTTCCAAACTCACCCTCTATCTCACAACCCTGATGCAAGCCCCACAAGCACCTGGGGGTGTCAGTACTCGCATGTTCTCAGAGGCTGTGTGTTCACAGCTGTGCCCTACTGCTCATTCTTAATTACACGGCATAACCTCCCACACGTGACCAGGTCCTGGCCAGGAAGCTCCTAGAGGACATGGCACTGCATGGCCACTCTCCTAGCCTCATGCTGGACACAGTGGGTGCTCTCCACCAACGTCCAGTTCTCCTCCCACTAGGCATGTGGTAGGATTGGACTTTTCCAGCCCACTTCAATATTAGACCATGTGACTTTTTTTGATAAGTGAAGTAAGAGTGGAAATAGAACTTCATTGCAAGTATGTGTCAGGTTGCAATTTCCACCGACTAGGTCTCTGAGTGACCACAATGAGACTCCCTGCTAATTGGTGAGCGTGTAACATGATAGAAAAACAAACCTGTGTTATGTGAAGTTGCTGAAACATGGGAGCTGTTTGTTTCTGCAGGATCAACTTGGTTCTCATCCTCAGACCAGCAGCAGCCAGGAGCTGGCTATAAGTGCGGAGCTTCAGCCCACTCCAGACACGCCCAGCCTGCACCTGCATCTTAGCAAGATCTCGTGTCTCCTGTGGCCATTAAAGTTTGAAAAGTACTGGCCTCAACTACCCTGGCTAGTATAGAAATTGTTACTTAGAAGTGGCTGAATTAATACTTAAATGGGTGCACAGACAGCAAGGAAGGATGGCAATCCTTCGGTAAAAAAGAGAGCCTGAGTGACAGATGATATACATGACAACATGGGGGAAGGTTGGAAAACTTAACCCCAACAGTGTGTGTTGGTTACTGTTGGGTGCGTTTAATGAGATACTACTAGAAAAAGACATGTAGTATCTCATTAAACATGTTTATCTACATAAACATGTAGATTCTCTCTTCTTAAGGAGAGAATTAATGGCACACAAGCTTGAACAGAACAGACTCAAGATGGTAGCACAACAGTGTGGATGCGCTTGATGACTCAGAACTGAAAGACTAAAAATTGTTAAAATGGTCAATTTTTTATATATATTTTGCCACAATTTTTTGAATAAATAAATAGAAGTGTTTAGTGATATGTTCAAAACTAACTTTGGGGAAAAAAAGGATTCAAGAAAATCCAGAGCCAGGAACTTCAGAGTGGGAAGAAATAGCTCTTATCAACCCAACAAGTAAAAGATAAAACTAAGAAAGCTGAATAAATAAGCAATTAAGACTCAGATTTGGCCCCAGGATCCAATCAGGGGCTGCTGTCACCGCCACGCCTGACTCCTCTGGGCGGGGCAAGGAAGCCGTCTTGGCAAAGTCCAGTGAGGAGTGAAAGTGTCCCGTGAATCTTTCCGTGGGACGAAATGGCTCAGGGAAAAGAACCAAAGGCACGATTCTCCCTCAAAGCTGACGGACTCGATGTCCACATAATTACAATGCTAGAGAGGACAGGTCCCACGGACCAAAGGAGACACACGCAGCAAGTCTAGGAAACACGTCTCTGTCTGTGCCCACCAGCCTGCGGCCTCGAGCCGCGATGCCCACAAGCCTGCCCCGTCTTCCCGTCCTCGGGTGGGAGTGTCCGTGCCCCGCCCATGGCGTTTACAGGCTCGGGGGAAGGGCTCAGATAAGTTGTCCTTTTAGTTTATTGGTCTTCAGATGTAAAGACTACCTGGCATACTTTTCAAAGTTACTCCTTTACCCCAAAACTCAGATATTCACCCCCACACCCACCAGTGAAAACTGCCATTACAGGCGTAGGACAATTTATCTGACAATGTGTAAAATGACAGCCCTCCTTTTAAACAGGCAGAGTCTGTGCCTCACAGGCTTATATTTAGTTGTTTGTAGTATCTTAAATTGTGGACATTGTTTCCACATCTCTGGAAATACTTCGTGTCTGATCAGCTCTTTGATGGCAGAGATCCACCAATAGCCACACCTAGCCGAGTATGTGCTAGGTGACAGCTCTAAAGTGTTCATACTTACTTGTCTACCAAGACAAAGACTTTTGCACAGTGTGCAAAGTCCAGTGTGTGATTTTATTTTTTTTGTAGGAGTTCTATCACTTTGAACTGAGAATAGCCATCCTACAGGCAGTAAACACTGGCAAGGAAACGTCATCATAATTCACCAATGAACGTAACTTCTCATTTTGCAGCAGCTGCCGACATATTGGCAGAAAGACTAGAAACACTGAGTATCACACATGGGAGTGACCACTTCAAAGGGTGGTCTGGCCCTACCATTTTATCAACCATGTCTTGAACGCACATTTTTACACATAGCAAAGTTCCTAAGGAAGCAGACGGTTAGCATACAATACCATACAATATCTGACAGTTGTATGTATTTGGGGGGTGGAGACTTTGTGTTGGGTGCCAGGAGTTGACTCATCTACGGATGTTTACCAAGTCACTACATGCATGTATTCCTTCCAAATAAAAACACATCTGAATATCTAGGATATTTCTGCACTATTATGTAGAGATTAAAAGACATTTAAGCCATTTCCTTAAAGACCTCTCTATAAAACGTCAGACCCTGTAGTAAGTCATGATGCCCCAGGGCAGAGAATTAGCCGCAGGAGCACTGGGTTCCAGACGGAGCCAGAGCAAACTGCAGGCTACAGGTTGTATTCTGCCACTGGGCTGGCACTCCAGCGGCCTCGCTGAGTATGCTTTCCTATTAGGCAGAAGGGCGATACACAGTTGCCATTTACTGGGTGCCTACTCCACACCAGGAATGCTATAGGCAATAGGGACAGAGCGACAAGAAGGCAGACAGGCTTCCACAGATCCCAGATTCCTTGGAGCTGTCCCGGGGGAACACAGAACTGTGGTTTCCTGTGATAATGACATACAGATCACTTTCTTCCCATTCCTGGATACACACTTGAATTTTCAGCAAAAAGGAACAGAAAACATTTTAAGGGATAGCTGTCCCTTCAAAAATAAGTTGCCAACAACCTGCTAATTTTCCAATTTTCAAAAGATGTGGATGTCTCATGCAATTTCCTGCTTAAGTCAGCACCATTGTTTTCCTGGACTCTGTGCTGCCAGAGGTGGGGTCGTATCTGCAAGTGACTTATGTGACTGCGCCAGGAAGTCTGTCTGCCCGACAGGCCTCTGAGGGAAGGGTCCCTCTTCTGCACCAGCCACTCATTGTCATGTGACCCAATGACCCTCTGTTTTACTCACTTTTTTCCCACTGGGAGCAGTCTAGATATAAACATCCAAAACAAAAGAGAAAATAATAATATCGAAAAGTTATTGAAGAATGGACTATGAGCGCTGTAAGGCCCCAAGCCCTTCGTGCCAGACAGGGCCCACACGGCCCTTTGGGGCTGAGCAGGTCTCGCAGTGTCCCAGCCGCTGCCCTCACCACTGGCCCCTGCGCCCACCACTAGTATGTACCCCAGCTCAGTCATTTCTTTAAAAGAAAAAGCAAACCCTTAGAGCACTTTACAAATTTACAAGAAATTCTTGCATTTTTTCCTGCAGTTCTCACGACCACCCTGTGAGGTCGGCACAGATGTGGAACCAGAAGTGAAGTGATTCAGGCTGCACAGCTGCGAATGGCAGAGTTAGGGCCTGAGCGCAGATTTTCTCACTCCAGTCTCGGTTGGGCCGGACTCCCTGGTGACAGGTTGGGCACCTGACTTTTGCCGGCTGTTGGACTCAGACTGACTGACATCTGCCAAGTGCACAGTGACAGGGTTTCAGACACCGAGGCAGACCCAGTGTGGGCCAGTCGAAGCGAGCTTGGCTGTGGGCATGTGTCACATGCTGCATGGGGGCACCTTGAGCTCCCGACGTGGCCCCACACACCCCTTGGGAAACCCTGGAATGAGCACAAATAAGGCAGAGTCGCAGACTGTCACAACACATGAGGCAAGGTTTGTAGCACAAAGTTTAATGTCTGGGTAAGTGCACCACCATGATTGACAGAAGTATAATTAAGGAAACCCCATCCTCAGGCAATTACAGGCATAAGACATAAACCAAATCAGGAAAGGAGAGCTATGGAGACATCCCAGAACAAATGAATCGGAGTATCAGACGGAAAGAATGTGACCTTGCTGTTCTGCCCTCAACAGCGCGCAACGCTCGCAGGCCGAGTGGAGCGTGGCCTGCTCGGGAAAGGACGCAGCCCGCGCCGCGGGGGCAGGCTCGGCTTCTCCCCAGCACCAGTCAGTCCTCCCCGCGCTTAGACCCGCGCTCGGGACGTTGTACAGCCCCCCCCAGTACACACGCTTGCGACATAGAGGACGGATGGGCCCCCCAGAAATGGGTGGGAGCAGTAGAAACAGGAGGATGAAAAAAGAACAGTAAGAAACTGTCACAGGTTGTGCCTAGAACGGATAAGCAACAAGCACATTCGACACAATAATCACAGGAGCTGAAGCAGGACTAGATCCGAGGCCCAAGTCTGAGCTAGGAGAGAGAAAGGTCATGCACGCTCTGGGCTGCGAGCAACCTTGCTGACTCCTCGGCTGTGGCCTTATGACTTGCTCATCGGTGCGCCAGCAAAGAAGATGGGAGCCCCGAGAGGTGCACTCTGTTTAGTAGCTGCCCGGGAGCCTGCAGGCGGTTCTGAGGCCGTGGCAACAAATCATCGCTTTGAAGGTCTTCCGCATCTCCTGGCTGCGGCAGGCATAGATCAGAGGGTCGATCACAGAGTTGCACATGATGAGTATGAGGTACATGTTGAAGTGAGACATGAAACAAGAGCAATAGAGGTTCTGGGGGCACGAAATGATCAAGACGAGATGGAGGAAGAACGGAGCCCAGCACACGACGAACACGCCCAGCAGCATGGTAAGGGTGACGGCGCCCGTCATGCTGGTCCTCTGCGGCGCGGAGCTGCATCCAGGCAGAGCTGCGATGCGCTTGACGTGGGTCCGAGCCAGGAGGAACATGTGTATGTACAGAGACACCATGAGGAACAACATGGTGAAGAACATGCAGATGAGGCAAATGATAACGTAAGTGGATTCGTAGTAGATGATGAACACAATGCCACAGCCTGTGCAGAAGGTCCAGATGCCCGCAATAATCACCCCAGAGCGCTTCACCGTCATGATGTGGTGGTAGCGCAGGGCGTAGAAGATGGTGACATACCGATCCACCGCGATGGCCAGCAGGCTGCACATGGAAGCCACCACGGAAATGCAGATCATGGAGTCAAAGACATTGTCAATGTGACGCACAAAGACATCTGCTATCACCAGGTGCTTGTTGTTTATCAAGTATATGGTGATGGTCTCCCAGGCATTGGACATGCTCACCAGCATGTCAGCCACTGCAAGGCTGCACACGAAGAAATACATGGGAGAGTGCAGGTTCCTGTTCTTCACGATGGCACCTATGACCAAGATATTCTCCAAGAGGCTGATGAGACCCAGAGTCAGAAACACTTCCACAGCAATGCCCATGTCTTCACACAGCAAAGATTTGTTCTTGACATTTGTTCCTGAAAGGTTGCCCTCTGTAGCATTCAGGTTGATATCCAAGAAATGCAGGATAAATGAGGAATTCATTGCTGGAGAAAATGCCTCCTCTTCTTGGCGCAAATTTACTGTAAAACAGATTTTTAATTCACAACCCGGAGAGGTTAACAATCTACTAAAGAACTACAACAGCATGCCCAAAGCAAGCACACCTAAGAAAGGGGTGCATCAGAGGAGGAGGGACGGCTTGCCCCACTCTGACTCGCATTCCTGACCCCGGAGTACTGCCCTGCCTGACGCGCCTCTGCCGTTCTCCTTCCTTTCAGCTCCTTCACGTAGGGCTTAATAAAGTGACATTCATCTCCGTTTGCCCAGGACAGTTTCACTTTGTGTGCCTGCTGTCCTGGCACTCAGGTTCACTCTCCAAAGTGTCCCCAGTTCATAACCTACAAAATCCTAGCCAGTCTCCTGATTTTTACATTCCTAAGGCACTACATTTTCCTGAAGTGAGCTCCAATTTCTAAAGAATACACAGACCTGTAGGCTTTTAAGAGAGAGACAGATGCATCCATAACATTTGTCCTGACACTTCCCAGGCCTGCCGGGACCCAGACTCCATCGTTGTCACCAAGGCTGTAACCAAGGCAGGCAGAATCACATGCAAAAAGTTACTGTCTTTAATTTGCCAATTTAGGTTGCTCATACATGTTCAACTTGAGGAAAATGGAGTGCTGTTTTACCTCGATAAATGAGTTTCCCTGACTTCTGCATTATTTGAAATTCCATGAAGTCTGATTAATAGTTTTATAAGTTCCACATAAGCACAGTATGAAGCAACAAGCGATTTAAATTTACTAAGTACTCGGCCAGACACTTCACTCCTTTGTTGCACCATTTCTCTCTCATGATTTATATTCAAAAATCCCTCTGCCACCCAAACTCAGATCACGCATCTGGGGAGAGAGTCAGAATTTTGTCATCATTTTCATCATCAATATTGCTAATCATAGGTATTTATGGAACTGCAATCATATTTATATATTTATGTCCAGTTCTATCTCAGAGATATCAACCAATTATGCTATTATATTAGATGTCATATTGAGCTGTTTTAAAAATTCACTGGACAAGCTAGCTGCCATCGTGAGCTCCTCCACACGCCAGGTAAGCATGATTTTGCATGTGTTTCCAGGCTGTTTCAAGGGAATGGAAAGTTGTGGCTATTTACCGGTGCTCTTGCTGCGCTCTTCTCTGGTACAGGACGCGTCCCTCCCTGGCGGTGCTCAGCAGGCGCCGGTGCGCACGGGCTCAGCCCTCCGGGCGGGCCCCAAGCCCCGCGCCGCGCCGCTGCACCGGCGTGGCCTTTATGCTGCCCGCCCCGCCCGCGGGCCCTCCCCCCGCGCCCGCGCCCCGCGCCCCGCCCGCCCCCACCCGCCCGCGCCCGCCGCGGGACTCCTCACCGCCCGCCCCCGCCCGCGCCCGCGCCCGCGCCCGCGCCCGCGCAGGTGAGCCGGGTCTGGGCTCCCGGCTCCACCTGGCGGCCCGCGCTGCAGACCACGACCGTCCCCGCGGCCCGCGCTTGGGCGGGCGCCTTTCCCAGGGGAGCTCCCGGCGCACCTGCTGCTGAACCGTGATCTGCCCCCAAAGTGCCTCCAAGTGTTTTTGTCTTTTATTAAGTCCTGGCCGGTGGTTCTTTTCCCTTTCTCTTTTCTTCCTCTTGCGCCCTGTTTAAAATGCTGAGCTGGGGACGGGGGTGGGGGGTGGGGGGTAAATTCACACCCAACGGGTCCAGTGCGCACTATGTGGGCGACGGGCACACACGTAACTGTGACTCAACTGTACAAAAGTAATTCATGTAACCGAAACGTTTGTACCCCCGTAATATTTCGGAATAAAATAAAATACCGAGCTCAAAGACCGCTCTGTCGTTCGGATTCTACAGGACAGCGGCCACTCTTCTCCCCTGACCTTCAACCCCAAAAGGACTTTACTGGCAACATCGTGGGCAGGTGCACACGTGGCGGCGCATGGAGGGCGGACGCGGGGCTGCTTCCCTGTGCCAGCTGCCTTCGCAGCAAGGTGTGCAGCAAGGTGCGCGCAGGGGACCACAGCCCTGGCGGGGCGGGGCCACTGGGAGCCCCAGTGCCATGTTGGGAACCGCGTGACGGACTTCCACGAAGGGATTCTATATGTTGAGACTACACACTGAGAAGGTGCGTGTGAGAGAGGGAAGAGCTGACAGAAAACATCCGTAGATTCCAGCATTTCCCCATGATGTTGTATCCAAGATCAGAGGGAGCTCTGCAGAGCATCCTGGTTTCCCAGTAAAGTGCTAAAAGTGTAGACTTCTGTGCAGATAGTCATGTGGACTGCACGGGGTGGCCACCTCCAGTGCTGGTGGCGGTGGCGTGCATCTGGGGACCCTGTGTGCAGTGCTACACTGGCTGCTGTACATGAGTTACAAACCCTAGGAAGTGGGTTTTATTATCATTCCCATCTCACAAAGGAGGGAGCTGGTGCTTAGAGAGGTGATTTTGCAAGCCCACATTCCCAACACTGGATTGACGTCCGGCGGCCTGACCCAAGAGCCGGGAGCGCTTTGCCCAGCATGGTGCTGCCCTGTGAGCGCCCGGGTGGCCCCTGGGCATGATTCTTTTTAAGTACTGTGGGGTACGATTTGCAGTTCTCTTGCCTTCGTACTAACTTTATCTAGTTTTGTTATTTAGGTTACCCTGACTTTGTTAAATAAACTAGGGAGAGATTTCAATTATTTTTCTATTCTGAAACAGTTTAAGTGGGGTAGGAATTATCCGTTTCTTGCAGGAAAATAATTGAATCAGGGTCAATAGAGGTAAGAGAATGTAGACCGAGCTCTTCAACTGTTACTGTCATTGGAAATTTTTATCTCCTAAAAAGCATTCTAATAACAATGCTTAACACACAATAACAAGGCATTCAATGAGCCACCAAATTCCACATGAAATATTCCTTTCTAGTGAAAGACCAGAGTAATGTGCAACAAGCCTATGTTTTATTTTATTTCTTGAGCAATGACAACAGAGATGATTGCCAATTCAAATGCAGAGAGAAAACACACGGAGTCCCATCTATGAAGGCTTCCGAGGGTGAAATCTATCTGGACGTGGATGTCATAGGCTGGATTCTCTGAGATGCACGCTCTGAGAGGAGCCCTCTGTGCACGATGCCATGGGAAGCTCCCCGGGGTCAGCACCTGGGGAGGGTGGGGAGGGAAGAAGGTGAGGCAGAGGGACCAGCAGGCCCCACAGTCCCGGCCCTCATGCCCTGCCTGGCTCCGTCACCAGCAGCCAGCTGCCTCGGGGACAGTGTGAGGTAGGCAGGACAGGCCTCGCTGACCACCCAGCCAGTCCTCCCTGGAAGGAGTCTGGGTGGCACATCTCTGTTCCTACCGCCCTCACAGCATCAGCAAATTCTCATTGGCTGTCACCTCTGTGCCGAGACCCGAGCCAAACGAGGGGACTGGGAGCTTGCTACAGAGGCAAAGTTCACCTGGATGGAACAGTGAGAGAGCAAGACACAATTTCAAAACGTTAGATACAATTATGCCCAAACTCCAAGGAGTTTGAAGCACTTTCCTGCCCCTCACAGCAGCCCTGGGAGCTATTATCAACATTGCCATTTTCATCGACTCAGACTTTGAGGCTCAGCAAAGCTAAGTGGAGTTTCCGACACCACTTGGCTCCTAAGTGGTGACACCAGCTGTTGAATCCGACCTTCCCATCCCAAAGCCCCTGTCTATGGAGACACACCTGCCCATATCACGCCTGATGGTTGAACAACAGAGTCCTGAGTATGCACCAAGTTTCCTATCTTATTTACAAAAGGAGAAAATGAAATGAACATTTTTTCAGAGCCTGCAATGCCCAATACTGTGGTCTGCATATCCATAGTTTCAGCAAATTTTCCCAGCAACTCTATAAAGTCAATATTTTCCCCACCATCTTACAGATGAGGAGATTGAGGGTCAGAGTAGTCCTGTGACTTCTCAGCTGGTGAGGAAAGCAGGATCAGGATCTGAATCCATCCTTCTAGGCGATGTCTGTGCTTAATCCAGAAAACAGGAAATTTAATCTTGTTCCTTGGTCCCACTGCCACAGAAAAGGACATGCAGGTGGGGAGGAACAGAGGCAGGTGAGAGGCAAATGGCAGAGAGTTGAACAGGCAGAAAGGCCAGCAAGGGAGAGGCGTGGCTGAAGCATGAGGTGGGAAGCAGAGGGCTGAAGGGTGGAAGGAAGGTCACCAGGTGGGAGAGGCGGGAGGTGGAAGGGAGAGAATGCCAGTAACCAGGGCAGGTGGCCAGGGAGGGGGGAGCAGGGCATGTGATGCTTTTCAGGTTACCCAAAGATTCTGAGCCTAGTCTAAGAGCAATGGGGACCTTGCGAGGTTTTAAGCAGGAAGGTAACATTTTCAGATTTGTGGTTTTAGAAGACCAGTCCAGCCATAGTGAGGAGACAGCTCAAGAGCCAGGAAGGATGTAAGTCAGTGGCAGCTGGCAGCACCCACAGTGCGACGAAGAGCCCCCAGGCTGAATCGCGTGTCTACCAGCACCCAGGGACCTGGCCCATCCATGCTCAGACACAACTGCTTGCAGTAGCAACAACATTCCAAAGTAGTGCTTCCTGATGCACCTGAACATCAAGACCAAGAACAAAAACTGGCCCTGAACAGACAGGCTAAGCGTAATGTGTGGACAGTGAGACTCACACCCCAACACTTGATGTCGCTTCCTCAAGGAAGGAAGAGAGGCCTTGAACCTTGGGAATTTGGTGTGGGGTTTGGAGGGGCTTTTCAAATTATTCGTTTGTTTGTGTTTAATATTTTGTTTTGTTTTGACCATCAGAAATACATGATCTCTATAATGTCATGTAAACTAAGATTCTCAAAATCCTTAGGAAGGATTATTTTTTAAGTCCTATACACCTCTCATCTTTAAACAGGATTCAGTAAGCATCCTCTGTACATAGTAGAAAGCTAAGAATGTCAGAGAGACAGAGAGAAACCTGAATAAAGTCCTTTTCTTCTAGAAGCACATAAATCCCAATAAGCAAATTGCACTCGCTGTGTTCCTTTGGAAGGTGTTATACAGCTCACTAAGAGACCCTGAGCTTGCCCAGCCCAACATTTGGATAATCACTGGGAAGTCGGCCACAGTATCTGGAGAGGAAGGTCTCCTTTGTAGCATTTAAATCTTTTCTAGGCCGGGCGCGGTGGCTCACGCCTGTCATTCTAGCACTCTGTGAGGCTGAGGCGGGCGGATTGCTTGAGCTCAGGAGTTTGAGACCAGCCTGAGCAAGAACAAGACCCCATCTCTACTAAAAATAGAAAGAAAATTAGCCAAACAACTAAAAATAAAAAAAAATTAGCCAGGCACAGTGGTGCATACCAGTAGTCCCAGCTACCCAGCTACCTGGGAGGCTGAGGCAGGAGGATCGCTTGAGCCCAGGAGTTTGAGGTCGCTGTGAGCTAGGCTGACGCCACGGCACCCAACCCCAGGCAACAGAGTGAAACTTGGTCTCAAAAACAAACAAAAATCTTTTCTTACAGTTCCTGTGGTTACCTTGCCAACTGTTATTTAACAAGTCCTCTGTAGTAGTTGTTACTTCAGCCTCCCAAGCAACCTAATGTCCTTTCTGTCTCTCCTCCTGTGTCCACTCACTGAAACCACCATATCAAAATAAGGTAAGGCCAGAATACAGGGACTGTGATAAAAGTCTGATTTCTACAGAAGTATAGACATAGCTAAAAGTTAACCAGCCATTGTTCTCCAACTTGCCGACTGCCATCACTGCTTCCTGCCTAAGTGTCACAGATCCCTGATGAGGCAAGACTTGTGACTTCCCCAATTGCTCCTGTAGAGAGCATCACTATTGTAAAACCTAAGGCTGGTCTTTGAGATATCTTCCAGACTCTGCATTTGAGGGGGATCAACTGACACGAGCTGGACCAGTGGCCATGTGTGAGAACCAATCCAACAAGTTCTGCAACCTTCTACCCAGGAACTGTTTCAGCCAAGAAGACAATTGCTGCTTCCCAGCCCCAGTCAAATGCAGACCTGATTCCCCTAGCCTTCTGTTTTCCAAACCACCTTTAAAAATTATAGCCCCTAAACTCTCAGGGAGGTGGATTTCAGAAATTTCTCCCATCTCCTCACTTGACTTCATACTATATTAAACTCTTTCTCCACTGCAACTCCTGCTCTCTTGGCCTCTATCTGGGCAGTGGGCAAAGGACAAGCTCCTGCTTATCCTTCAGATCCAGGACCCCCTGCTGCTGGGACTCTTATGCGGACATCCTGACAGCTG